AAGCCATGGCACAACCCCTGTGGAGATTTTGCCAAGAAAACCCCAAGATCAAGTAACAACAACAGTAATCAATATCAACATGGTGGGCGGCAGTGGCAGCAGGACTGGCCTGGGGCTGATCCAAAGGCCTCGGCAGCTGCATTCGACCCCCCCCGGTTGCCTACCCCTGATCCACATATTTTAGTATCCGGGGTTGTGGTGGTGGTGTTCCTAGAATCAAACTCCAGTGGATACCACTTCTAAATGTGATGAAGTTTAAAAAAAAAGCCAAATAATGTACTGCACAGAAAAATATACAAAAGCTATTGTGTAATCACTGACATCGGTGATCATTTCTTCTGTCCTCCTGATGCAGGTGCACCATCCAAATCAACTTAGGGGACAACTGTATATGTAAACAGTAACACATTAGAGCTTCTACGCAGCAGCTGCCACTCACAAAATTAGAACTGAACACTATCACCAGAAGCAAACCCAGTGTTACCTTTTCCACTTTTATCTGTCAAGGTAATTTGTTTACAATCTTATTTCAAAAAGAAATGTTGATAGCTTATGTTTCACAGACTTTAGTTGTTAATTTCAGATGTATACCTTTATTTCAAAATAGCAGCACACAGTCAAAAGAATACAAGGCAGTCTTACAGATTGATCAAATAGATTTTATTTTTCTCCAACACAAGGTAACTTCCTTTGCAGTTTAAAGACCAAATCCTAACAGTCACCTGAAGACTGGAAAGAAAGTTAATTAAGATAACTGAAACGTTAAAAAGGATAAAAGTGAAATGAGTTTTGATAAGTTACATTCGAGAGAGAGATGGGGGAGGTAAACCACATATGTCAATAATGGTAGGATACCTGCTTACCTTGAGATGACATTTCAGTGTCAAGAAATGTAACACTATCAAATGAACCATGATTATGTATGTTTTAAAAATGGTCATGGACCAATGGGTATAAAACCCATAATATAGCAAACTGTCCTTCAGGCATACAAATTATTATTGGTAAGTACATATATAGGCAAGATACAATGTAGCCGAACTGTAAGCTAAATCATGTAAAAAGGCTTGAATCAGATTCTGCTGAATTCAAAGGCACTGAAAAGTGTATTTATATAAAAAATTATTTTTAAATTCAGTGTGCTTGCAGTTTGTAAGCTTAATCCTTTCTTTTAGATTTAGAAAGTCAATCACAGAAAACAAAAGTTTTAAATTATTTAATCTATTTATATAATGTGCATAACAGCAAAAACAGTATCTCAAGGCAGTATTTAAACACACTAACCTATTAGTGTAAAATGAGAGACTGCTACTGTAACTTTTGTTTTGCAGCATTTGCTCAAGCTTCAAACAAAAGTAACTATGTACAACTGCGGTGGGAAACCTGCCACCTTTGGGTTAACTTTCTGCTACCCTTAATATTACCAGACAACTCTCTTGACATTGCAAGTTCCCCTTTGCTCTACAAACCACAAGTCTGGAAACTGCTTCTTCATTAGTTCTGTGTATGTTTTGCTTATACATAAACATGCATGAAGGGGAGAGCAGCAAAACGAGAAGAATGGCACAAAGAGCTATGAAATTTTTTTTTAAAAATTCTACCCACCATTTTCTGAGTCAGTGGCCCTCTTTAAGAAAAAGATTTCCCACATCAGTGTGATTTAGGTCAGTGCTACTCAAAAAAGTGGTGGAACCTGAACCAGTGCTGGTCTGTGGCAAGTTTTGAAGAAACAGCTGTACCCGTCGAGCACAAATATGATATCACTCCCTGACAAGCTAGAGAAAAATAATCCCAGGCCTCCAGCCATATCACATAGCCCGAAAAGCGCTGATACAGGTCAGTATACCAGGTGTAAGATTTGAAAAACTATGCTTAATATGATTCTCAATTAGAGTAAGACATCAACTCAAATTCAAAAAAGTTGACTCAGAAAATACAAGATATATTCATCGAGTGGCATTCTTTTTATTTAATCTAAGACGTCTTAATTAGAAAGGGATTAAGCAGCATGCAGTTAGATGAGGAAAAGAACATGTAATCATAAATTACAGATACACATGTATTACTCTCTCCCCTCTCTAGAAAAGATGAGCTGATATTAAATATATACAGTGTTCCTTTAAAAAACTGCCCTTACATTAGCTAGCTAAAAAGTAAATCAATTATTTCTGCTGCTTCCTGTCTCTTTAAAATCAGTTAATGATCTTATTTTTAAGAACTTGAACATTTTAAAATAAATTCCTCACAGATTTTAAAAATGATTTGAAAAACGGTTAAAGTATTAGTAAAATGTACATTTTACACAAGACATTTAATGATGTAACATTAAAAGCTGTATTTTAAGGCTCTTATGTTCTCTACATCAGTCTACATCAAATAGGTAAACAGTGTGACTAATAAGATCCTATATATAAAACTTGGGAAGTATGCTTCAGCACATGAGTGAAAAATTAAACATCATCCAGTATTAACAAGGGATTTTTAAAACTAATGTCAACACACACATTTAAAACCTGCAGTTTATATTGATGGGGAAAGAAAAGACTTAAATATGCAACTAAACACTGAGAATAATCCAAAACAGTCCTAAAACACACACTCAGCAATGGCAAACAAATCAAGATTTTCTCTGTTAATATCACTCAGAAATTTAAACACCAATATGTTTCATATGCCCACTGAAACACTACTTAGTAGGCCATCTGGTCTCGCATCTGAATGAGAAAAGGCCACACATTTGTTTGACAACTCTATTTAAAAGTGCTTTGTCTAAAACATATTTTCTCTAAAAGTTCTCTGGATACTATTAGTACCTCAGTATACAAAGGGATCATGTAGCACTTTTGAGATGGAGAGGAAGACATTGGTAGAAGAAACTTTAATTAAATCTACAAAAGAATGCCACCAACTTTAATTCTCTCAGTTAATCTCAAAGATGCTACAATATCCTTTTGCATACTAACATGGCCATGTCTTTGAATTCTAGCACAATTCAAAGCTACCTATGAAAAAGATGTTCAAATTTGTTCAGCCAATTAAATTTCTGGATGTT